AAAAAAAAAAAAAAAAAGGCTTTTGAGATTAATCTCACGTAAATTTCATTTGAAAATAATAGGATTTTGAAATAAATCTAACATAAATTTCACGTGTATATTGTTAAAAATAAATACATGTATTATTGTTAAAATAAATCTCACATTTATTTTTGAATTAATTTATGAGGTGAATGTAATAGTTAAAAAATTCATAAATTTTTAATTTACATACAAATATTATATTTATAAAACTATCTTTTCATACATCATTTTTTATTTTATTTTATACGTGTACCTATCCATCAAAATAGTATACAAATTAATCGGTAATCTTTTTAAATGTGTTCTGATTTATGCATTTATCTCTCCATCAAACTGGTTTGCAAAAAATATACTGGCCGAATTGTTTGTGCCATAAAAAGATAACAACTTCCACCATTCAAGGGCAGCATGAAATGCTCCATGATTTTATTTAAAAAAAAAAAGAAAAGAAAAACTATAATAAATAGTATATAATTAATGCAGATAAGATTTTGACAATGATTTGGCTTACTAATTTTAAAAATGGTAATTCTTTTTATATAGATATAGATTGACAAAGCAAATAGTATAAAATCAATGGGAGCCTCGTTTGACCATGATATGATGAGAGTGTCTTATCCTCGCCGAGTTCAAGTTTAACTTTATCCTTTCTTAGGCCGCCAGTCTACTTTATTGTACCGAAAAGAAATGTTAATAGATTGTGGATATAAAATGATAATATACATGGTTTTTTTTTTTCAACTATAATATACATGATGATTATACATGGTTGATATTTGTCAATTTATTTATTTATAAACTGATTAATGAAAAAAATATATCTTACAACCTAATTATATATAGACCATTCTTATAATTTTTAAACTATTTTTTTTTTTTCTCTTTTTAAAATATTAATAGATTGTGGATAAAGCAAAATATCAACCATGTATATTATCATTAAAATAAATTCTCGGATTCTTAAATTGATATTCTCCTCAAAAAAATAAATAAATAAATAAATAAATAAAATAAAGGATAAAAATAAAAACTATCCAAAAATTGCATAAAAAAAATCCACTAGTGGATATATATCACTTGATTAATTATAACTATGATCACATATCCATCTCCAAAATTAATCTCCAAAATGAAATCCTCAGTTCCTCACCCATTTAACAAATTCTTGATTTTATTTTGTTCCCTATAAAAAAATATATATTTATAAAATTTCATTTTAACTTCGCTATAAATACCCCTCTCAACTCCCCTCAACTATCTCACTCCACCCACCCACCTCCTATTAAATAAAAAAAAATATTAAAAAAAAAACCATCATGAACATGACCAGCATTTTCAAGATTCACTTGTACTTTGCACTTTTAGTCACTCTACTATTCCGGCGGCCGGCGGCGGTGGCCGCCTCCTTCGACGTCCGGGACTTTGGGGCGGAGCCTGACGGCTCGGCCGACTCAACGGCCGCCTTCTCGGAGGCGTGGGCTGCGGCCTGCGCCTCCGTGGGCCCAGCCATGGTCCTCGTGCCACGAGGGACCTATATTGTCGGGAAGGCCCGGTTCGCAGGCCCGTGTAGGACCCATGGGATCTCCATACGTATAAACGGGACCCTCGTGGGCCCGGCCGGATACCGAGAGGACGACGGGGATAATTGGCTGCTATTCGAGGAGGTTGACGGGCTGAGCTTGGCCGGCGGGACACTCGACGGCCGTGGGGCCACCTTGTGGGCCTGCAAGACCGGCGGAAGGGAATGTCCCACCGGAGCCACGGTAACCATTTTTTTTTTTCTTAATTTTTGTTTTTCCTTTTTTTTTTGTAACAAAATTTTATTTATTGCATTGATTATTTTCATTTTATTTATTTATTTATTTATTTATTTATTTGGTCTGGAAAAAGAATTGTTGATTTGGCTAAGGTTTGAGGGATTCTCATTGTGGTATGTTAGGTTTGAAGGGGTTGGTCATGTGGTATGCCAAGAGTTAAATTAGAAAAATTTCCTCTTTTTTTGCTATCAATTAATAGAAAATGCTA